TCTGGGACCAGAATGTCATGTCTTTGAAATGCAAACTCCCGGAAGATGACTCATCCCAAGGGCTGGAAAGAGCTATGCAGAAACAAACTAGTAAAGAAAAACAGTTTCAAATCTTTTTCACAAATATTAGTAGAAAAGGCTTTTACTACCTCAGCAAGCAATCTTAACTGACAAAAACAATTTGGAGGCAGCCATTCCTTAATAAAAGTTGCGTGTCACCATGCTGGGTACATGGCTAACGTTTTAAAATGGGAGTCATAATATCTTCACCTTCATCTCTCTGCATGTTTCTCTGTCTCTAAATGTTATGTATATGTGATATTTTGTACCTTCAGGATCATATTGTTAAAGTTAATTTGTGAACAGTTTTACTTAATTGACTTACAAAATAAATGCATATTGGTAAAACTTCCTGAAAAATAGAAAGTGATCTGAATGCTTAGCAAGCTCACATGACTTAGGTAAGCTTAGATAAAAATGTTGGGGAGCCAGGTGTGGGGCGCACACCTTTGATCCCTGAAGAGATCGAGGCAGAGAGTAGGCAGATTTCTGAGGTTGAGGCCAGCCTGGTCTACATGGAGAGTTCCAGGCTAGGTCAGTGAAGGCTAGAAAGTAAGACCCTGCTTAAGAAAAAGAAAAAAAAAAAAAAGGATGCCTGGTTCCATCCCTGTGTTCCTCTTGCCAGTGTGAGAATGCATACTAGGAGGAGGTCTAGACCCATGAATTATAAGACAGTGTTGGTAGGTTTACTAGTGTGCTTGAGCATAATATTAGTGTGACTGTCCACAGCTTTATATTTCCCAGTTCCCTCCGTAAGAGAAAAGCTGTCAGTGGTTAAAAACCAAGAGAAACTATATGCAAAATTCTTCAAAGAAGGTGCTAGAGCGATGGACGCTTGCTATTCTTGCAGAAGAGTTGGTTTCGGTTCTCAGCACCCACATGGATCACAGCCATCTGTAACTCCAGTTCCAGGAGATCAAGTGCCTTTTGACCACTGCAAGCACCAGGCATCCATGTGGTCCACATACGTACAAACACTCATATACAATAAAATAAATTTAAAATGAATTTTAAAAAATTAAATATTCAAAGAAAATGAGATGTGGTTTTAATCATGAAAACTAGACAATGTATATAAAGTTCTTTTTAAGTTTTAAAAGTTCTGTGTGTGTGTGCGCGCACACACACACACACACACACGTGCACAGGTACATGTGTGCCACAGCACAGCCATGGAGGCCGGAGGACAACTTTTGGAAGTTAGTTCTCTTCTTCCATTATAGGTTCTGGGGATCAAACTCATGTTGTCAGGCTTCTAAGGTAAGAACTTTTACAAGCTTGGCGATGTATCTTCAGTGAGAAGAAACTAATGTTTGCAGAGAGAGACATGAAAAATAGTAAGACAAAGCCCAAGTAAACAACAAAAAGTAGGAAATAAATAAATAAATAAATAAATAAAGAGAAAAAAGAATGGGGGAGAGGTGCTTATATGGCTAAGATGGTTTAAGCTGAATGAATTTAAGGACTGGAAAATCAGCTTTATTATCAAAAGTTCACTGATAGAAATAAAACGAGAATTTTGTCTTCTGTTAAAATGACAAAGGTTTTTGAGGTTACTGATACATCCTTCACACGAAATTATGAAGCATTTTTTTTCCTTCAGCTCCCACCACCAAAAACAACGGAAACAAAATTTTCTCAAAATAATTTCCTGTAGACCTTTGGTTACTTAAAACATAAGTGCTCTCTGTTAAAAGGGCTATTTTATTTACTTTATTTTTTCACAACTCTGAAAACATCTGTAATTGCTTTGGAAATCTTTTGCCACATTTGATTAAACAGATAACTTGAATGTCATCCTGTCTAAATGTTTTGGCCTTTTGACCTTTTTGACAATTGGCCCCAATTCCAATTCTAAATGTCTTTTAGTTTCAAAGTAAGTGGGGTTTTCCAGATAGCCCCTGAAAAGAACCAGAACTTTGCTCTTTTTCCTTACAGAAAGAACTGTGGGTTAAATTAATATGTTTGATATGTCAAAACACACGGGGAAACATCAAGTACAAAGTAATACTAGCACTTGTGTTTATGCCTTTGCATGGTATATGCATACATACATGTACATGTGTGCACATGCATGTAGAGGCCAGAGGTCAGCATCAAGTGTCTTCATCTACTGCTTTTCATCTTTGTTTTTCATTTTTAAATTTAATTGAAACTGAGAACTTCATTCATGCATATATCGTGATTTGGTCAAATTCACCTCTGATTCCTCCATCTCCCCACCCTTTTCCCTAAATTCATGCGCTCTTTTTTTTTTTAACCCACCAAGTCCACTTAGTGCTGCCCATATGAACTTGGGTGTAGCATCATCTACTGGAGCATGGGTAGCCTTTCAGGGGCTGAATCCCACTAGAATGCTTCTGTGGCCAATAGCTCCTCAGTTCTGGGTGGGGCATCATGAACCTTTCCCTGGCATGCTTGGGTTTGGGTGGTTTGATCGTGTGCAGGTCTTGTACCTGTAGTCGCCACTGCTAGGAGTTCTGTGCAACAGTCTATTTCAGAAATAAGAATTTTTGCAGACATCTTCTACTTCTGGCTCTTAGAATCTTTTTGCTTCCTCTTCCACAAGGATAACTGAGCCTTGGGTGTGACCTATTTACAGCTGAGCACTCCACAGTCTCTGAAACTCTGCCCATTGACCAGCGGCAGGATGCTGTATTGATCACCGTCTATGACTCCCCCCCCCCCAAAAGGCATCTCTTTTAGGGACTGCACTAATCTTAAGGTGTAAAGAAAAAACTTTAGGGTGCAGATTTATATTATGCCAATTAAGCAGAATAGTAATATCAGGCTCTTGACTAGCTACTTATAGGATTGGGGGCCCAGTTAATAGTACTAACAGTGAATTCCATCTTGTAAAACATGTGTGGAGCATGCTGTAAATTCAATCAGAAAATCGGTGGTTATTCCCTTAACATTTGTGCCACTGCTGCATGAGTGGGTACATCTAGCCAGGACAGGCATTATTGTAGTTCACATTGTTCACAAATGGGTAATTTTACTGAATACCATTCTCCCAGGTATCAGCATACAACAGTATGAAAGCTAGCCAGTACAGATGAAGCTTCCAGGTCAGTACCAGTTTTATTTCTCCATGTTCTGTGATTCAAGAATGTGATATTTTCAGCAACAGAGTCTTGCTATCAAATTCTGAAGGGTAAGAAAGAGCAATGGGATGTGGGATTCCCCTCTGTAAGCTATGAATATGTTTTATTGTCATTGATTAATAAAGAAGCTGCTTTTGGCCAATGGCTTAACAGAATATAGGCAGGCTGGAAAAGATAAAGAGAGAGAGAGTAGGCGGAGTCAAAGAGATTCCATGTAGACACCCAAGGAGAAAGACACCCACTAGAGTCTACAGAAATCTTGCTGGTGGGCCATGACCTCATGGTGATGCACAGATTAATAGAGATAGGTTAATTTAAGATGTAAGAGCTAGCTAGCAATAGGCCTAAGTGATTGGCCAAGCAGTGTTTTAATTAATACAGTTTCTGTGTGATTATTTCAGGTCTGGGCAGCTGGGAATGGCCGGGAACGAACGAACAGCCTCTGCTTACACTGACCAAAAACTTGAAAAGTGGTAACCATACCCAGCACTGGGCATTTTATGTGATATCCTATGGTGTCTGGAAGAGATATTTTCCTCCCCATTATAGGGTAACTCTATTTAAGCTCTTTTTATATATGTATATGTTTTAGGAAGTTTCTACAGGACTGGTCTAACAGGATAGCTGGATTGAAACTAGATCCAGATCTCTCACTCTGCACTAAACTCAACTCTAAATGGATTAAGAACCTTGACATAAGACATAATACTTTAAATATGATAAAGCAGGTAATATGCTTCAATTTATAGGCACAGGAAAGAACTTTATGAAGCAGACCTTGTTGTCACAGGTTATCAAGATCAACATGAAACTAAAAATCAGTGTGGAGGTTCCTTAAACTAGAAGTGACCAGGCAGTGTGGCTCATGATTTTACTTTCAGCACTTGGCAGATCTCTGTGAGTTTGAGGCCAGTCTGGTCTGCAGAGAAAATTCCAGGACAGCCAGGACCATCCAAAGAAACCCTGTCTTGAAAAACAAACAAACAACAAGAAGCTAGAAATAAGCCAAGCACGGTAGTACACATCTTTAATCCCAGCACTTTGTAGGTAGAGACAAGCAGTTCAAGGTCAGTCTGATTTATATATCAAGTTCTAAGTCAGCCAGAGTTACATAGTGAGACCCTGAAAAAAAAGGAAAAACATAAAAGTTAGAAAGAGATCTACCACGTTTTCCAGTTCTACTACCCTTGGGCATATTCCTGTTGTGAGTGACTGCCATCTTGGGGCATTCAGGGGTGTTCCCTCATAAAGATTGTCCCAGCTGGGCTTGCTGATGGTTTAGAACCCCACATAGTGGAATCATTCTGAGCATAAGACTCTCCCCTGAGTTCCACCTACCAACTCTTGAGTGTGGCCTGGGGGAGGGCTAAAATATATAGAGGCCAGGTAAGACTACCGAGGGGCTCCATCTATGCAGCTACTGTGAAGCCCTCACCCCTGCTGGCTAAGGATTTTCAGGTGTAGTCACCTAGTGGAGAAGTGCCCACACCCTTGTAAGTAAACCCCCACGCCTGTGCTCTGTAAGGAAGCCCAGTAGACTCAGTGGTTTCCTGTGGTGGGACAATAGACTTTTATCCTATTATTAATAAATGAAATAAATGAAAGTATAACATTTGCAGTTAAATGGATGTAAATAATTATTCTTTTTTTTATACAACTGGAATCGTTACTTTTAATAAAGATAACATCCACTTTTCTACAAGTCAGTTTTCCTTAATCAGGGCTGTCCAACAAAACACTGTTAGCCATTCATGATCTGAATTTGGGGGTATGAATTAAATTACGGTACACATTAAAAGTCATGAGACATGTGTTTTGTAATAAATAAGGCAGTTACTCCTTTGTAGCCTTTTTAAGATAAGCTCTTAGATCCACCCTCTCTCCCTTCTTCTTAATTCCAGCGAAGACCATTTTTGTTTCAGGGATGTACTTTTTGGGATTCTCCAAATACTCCATCAGGGTGTCCTCTCCCCAGGTGATGCCTTTGTTCTTGTTGGCATCTGTGTACGAGAATCCAGCCGCCTGACTTGTCTTCCTCCCAAACAGACTGTGGAGGTTTGGTCCAGTCTTATGCTTGCCTCCCTTTTCCACAGTGTGGCACTGGGCACACTTCTGAACAAAAATCTTCTTGCCTTTCTCAACGTCACCCATTTTTAATTCGCTCCGGGGTGATCAACACCACCAATGCTGCTGCGACCCGAAGACAGACGTCCCGCTCTCTCGTAAATAATTATTCTGAATGAGGTAACTTAGACCCAGAAGGATACATCTCCGTGTTTTCTCTCATGTGGATTCTGGATTTGAAATTTGGGATACACATGTCTAAACTGGAGTAGCCATAAGAAGTCAGTAAACTACTAGGCAGCCATGGTGGAAGCCTGCTATGAGATAGAGCACAGGGTCCAGGCGGTATGAGCAGGGAAAGGGGAATAATGAAACATGACAGGCTAAATGGGGTGGGTATGGGAGGGCAGGGAAGAGGAGAGAGCATGGTCGGGGGAGTAACTGGCACTACAAACATTTGAAAATCCACCTTATTTTTTGGGACAGGGTGTCGTCACTGAACCTGGAGCTTACCAATTAATGTGTACGAGTGTACACGGCGGCCAGAAAGCAGGCTCTGGAAATGGAGTTATGAACAGTTGTCAGCCATTCAGATGGGTACAGGGAACTGAACTCCAGTGTTCTGCAAGAACAGCAAGCCCTGTTGTTCTTGTTGGAGACAGGGTTTCTCCATGTTGCTCTGGCTATTCTGGAACTTGCTTTGTAGACCAGGGTGGCCTCAAACTCAAAGATCCAGCTGTCTCTGTCTCCCAAGCACTGGGATTAAAGGCCTACCCTCCATGCTGGGGTACAGCAAGCCCTCTTAAGCACTGAGCCATCTCTCCAGACCTACACATCTTACTTTTGCGGACATGCTTTCTGGGGTGCTTGGGCTGGGTAAAAACAGCTTTGCGCTTGACTGAGCTGCTGAATTACTTCTACTTCCTCAGATTTTGTTGCACTCTCTTTGAGTGAAGCAGAGACAAGTAGCCTGTGGAGCGTGAGAATACTCCCAACCCAAAGCTCTGGAATTTACCCCCACTCCAGTAACAACTGCAGTTTAGCATTATCCTGTGTTATGTTCCTTGAGTCAGTGTTCAGCGTACTTTGGCTTCCCAGAAGAACGGTTTCAAGTTGACACTGGCAGTTTTTGAATTTCATAGCAAAGAGTCTGAAATGTAGCTTTTATTCTATTAAGGTTTGGCTAGCAGGGGCGTTTTTATGTCACCAGTGATAGTTACCTCGTTTTTTTAGATGAAGTTTGTTCAAGCTGCAATGCTTATCACGTTAGCTCCTTTATCTTGGAATCTAAACTCCTAATTGTGGTTTATGACACACTTGCCAAGATATTTATCAGGTAAAAAGCAAAGTTGTTTTTTGTTTGTTTGTTTGGTTGGTTGGTAGGTTTTTGGTTTTGTTTTTTTAAAACAGATTCACATAGCAGCTGGTACTATCATAACCAAGTTGAGTGGCTAGGGTGGTATACCATATTTTATTACATAAAGCTATTTCTCAAAAAATATGAAGTTTAAGAAGGTGATCGATCATATGGAGGAGGGAATGGTGTTCCTGTGCTAATAGGTCAGGAATTGTCACCCGAGCTTCAGAGATCTGAGACATCCAGTCTGAGGAGTCAGCTAGATTGGGGAAACACAATCGATTTCATTGATCAAATCTTGGCTGTTGGAGACATTATTTGGGAGATATTTTTCAAACTCTTAGACTATCTTATTAGTCATATGAATAACTTCCCCCCGAATAATGCAGTCTCTCAAAAGTGTTGCCAGCCACCACTAACCTGACAATGCCCTCTGTGAGGATGGAAAGAAGAATCATTGACAAATCTATTAAAATTGTAGTTTGTGACATATGGATGTCTACGAAAAAGAAAATACATGGTGGCAGAGGACAGCACTAAATGACAGTCATTCCATTCAGCCGAAAGAACAACAGATGGGGGAGGGGACTGGGAAAGAAAAACTAAAGTAGAGCCCACAACCATGCTCAGCAAAGCTTGTCATCCTGATTTACTGGAAACACTTGTTCTAGTTATAAACAAAACACAGACCATATAGTTTATGTCCTTATCGGTATAATTCAATAGATTTAAATCAATTAGCCATAGAGAAATAAGCTTAACCAGTCCTGCTTGCTTTAAAAAGAACATTAATGAATAACAGAAAAACACTTAAAAGGTCAAAAGACTGCTCCACTATGCTTTATAAGCGGCTGTAACAGCTACAGATGAGGCTTCTCATCACTTAGTTTGAGGATTCCCAGTTTATAAACTGTTCTATGCATGATACATCTAATTTTTTTTTGGGGGGGGGTTGGTGGGAAAGTTGAGACAAGGTTACTCTGTGTAGCCCTGGCTGTCCTGGAACTCACTCCGCAGGCCAGGCTGGTCTTGAACTCAGAGGTCTGCCATCTTCTGCCTTCTTAGTGCTGGGATTAAAGGTGTGTGCCGCTATGCCCAGTTTAAAATCTAATTTTTCAAAACATGATCTGGGGGATAAGAAAGATGGCTCAGTCAGTAAAGTGCTTGCCACAAAAGCATGAAGATTTAACTTCAGTTCCCAGTACCCCCATCAAAGCTCACAAATGGCCCTATCTGCCTGTAACCCAGTGTTGCACATCTTCAGGAACTCGAGTGTTGAGATGAGCATGCTGGCACAGTGCCTATCATCCTGGCACTTGGGAGGCCAGAGACAGGTAGGCTACACGGTAAGACTGTGTAAAAACCTTTTGCCCAATGTGGCTACTGTAAATAGGATTGTTTGTGTTAAATCCTAAAATCTTTGGGATGAGAAAGATAATCCAGATTGGGTAGTGTATTCTTTGAGTAAAGGCTTTTAAAAAAATTCTCTTTCTTTCTTTTTTCTTTTTTAATTCTCAGAGAAGTTTTTAAAGCCTGGATCATGTGACCTTAATGTCCTATAAAACTTTCTTTCTTCCAACATCTAGTAATAGGAAATAATTTTCTACGCCATCTTGAGTTGAATATTGTAATAGGTAGTTGTGTGTATATGATTTTGTTTTGAGACAGGGTCTCTCTATGGGGCTGACCTCAAACTCATGATACTCCACCTTAGTATATTCTAAGTGCTGGGATTATAGTCTTGTACCATGGCATTTAGCTCAAAACTACATTCTAAAATTTAAGTTATTCATGCGTGTTAACTCAAAGGTGCTATGTAATTATTTATTATTAAATATTGGTCCTAGCAGAGCAGTGGTGGTGCATGCCTTTAATCCCAGCTCTTGGGAGGCAGAGGCAGGCAGATCTCCAAGTTTAAGGCCAACCTTACATAGAGATTTCCAGGATAGCCAGGGCTATACTGAGAAACTCTGTCTCAAGAGACAAACCACCACCAACAACAACACCCACTAAAAATTTAATTTTCCTTTTTCACTATTATTGTTGTTTGTGTTTTTCTTCTTTTTTCTTGATTTTTATTTTTTACTTTTGATAATTCTTTATTGGGCATTTTTTTTTTTTTGAAGACGCATTCTGTGCAGAAATCCTGCAGTCCTGGGATTGGAAGCCTTTCAATAATGAAAATATCAAATACTTCAGCGCCTCAGCTTTCAGATCAGGCCACTGGAAATGTAAGGCAGCAGGCCTGACAAGGAACACAGAATGCCAAGGATTCGTTGCCTGGTAAACAAGTAACACCAGTTAATGATGAGACTGGTTATCTCCCAGCCACTGTAAAGATGCCTTATGATGGTGGCACTGGGGACCGCAGAGCAGGAAGGCCAGCCTAAGAGCCAAAACTAATGTTCAGGCAGTCTCGGGCAGGGGGTCTTTGCTGGGGTTTCTTACATTAGAATTATTTTATTAGAGATAGCTAATCCGAATATCTACTAGATTTAGAGAGAATCGTGTGGATTTCTTTTAAAGCCCACATAGAACCAGTGACCAAAACACAAAATTAGATTAAAGCCTGTGGGTACTAAGGAAAAACCTGTAATTGTAGCACTTGGGGAAAGAGGCCAGGGAGATCAGGGGTTTATGGTCAGCCTGGACTACATGAGGCTCTGTCTGTCTCAGAAAACTGAGAAGAAAAATGACAAGGAAATCTGAGGCCCAGAATAGTGCCACCAGGTAGAGAAATGAAATGGTGAAGTGGACACCGTCAACCCCAAGAGAAGACAGTGCTGTCAGGCTGTAGCGCTACCAGACTAGCAGAGAAACTGGCTCATGGCCAGAGCCGTCTTCGCTCTTCCTGGCCAGTAGGATCCAGGGACAGCTGGGCACTACTCGGGATTTTTTAATCTTGGTAACTCCTGAAACCTTTCCCCCTTTCTCTGATCAAGTCATTTTGTCTTAGTTGCCTGGGCCTTCTCCACCATTTTATTATATATCAATTTTCCTGACCAGTCATAAATGGTTTTTGGGATTGTGGGTTGCAGAACTACAATTAAGCCAAGATTGTTCTTGATGAAGAGTTGGCACGTGTGTGTACTGAAGAGCTGGGTGTAGTCTGTGGTGACTTTGGTTGTCTCCCTACCAACACACAGTCTCCGAAAGGATGTGATTAGGAAAAGGTCTCTTCTGATTTGCTACAGAACCTGTTGTCTCTACTAAAACCAAAGCTTTAGACAAAGTACATTTGAAGCTTGTGTAGGCAAAGAGTAATTGATAATCAGGCGGAATTCAGAACTGAAAGAGTGTCAGAGTGAGCGTAAACTCTCAAAGGCCGAATGTTGTGGTACAAAGAAACCACTTGATGACTGATGTAGGCCAGCACCTTTGTAGGAATGTCCCATCAAGAGTTATCTAACCAAATCAGCTGGTTGACCGTGATTGTGCTGACACTCAGTTTTAAAGGGTTTTCTTTCTTTTGTTCTTGTTTTAATTAAGTTAAAAGAAAAGCATTCAAGAGTTCTGTTGGCTTATCTAAAGGCTCCAGGTACAGAGACAATCTCAGGCACTTCTTTCTCACTCTTTGATGCTAAGAGTAACAGGGTAATAAAACTTCACTGGGGCATAAGTAGAAATCAGCTAGGGACTTGAACAAAGCCACCTTACTTTTTAAAGAGAAACTGAGTCTAAGATGCCCAGGCTAGTCCCAAAATTCTGAGTTCAAGGGAACCTCCTGGAACTGAATTGTGGTAGTAAAAGCACTTTAGAGGGTTGAGGCGGGGGGAATCA